CGCAGGCAGTGGATAAGAAGCGGAACAGTGAAGGCACGAAAGACGGAAAGGCGATTCGACACGCGTGGCAATGCACTTTCGATCGCAGTGCTGGCATGATGAGATGTTCTCAGACATCAACATAGCGCAAGCTCGGGAACGATGTTGAGAGATGACTCGTTGCTTTCCGTTGCTAGAGAGCAAATACGCAGCATTGCCACCATTGAAACACATATGCAGTGGAGAGACATCTTCATCAAGAGAATCACGCAGAGCGAACTCCGTGTGGGCGGGTTTACGCCTTGCTTTCAATAGGCGAGTTCATGTGTTAAGTGCTGTTCGTGCAATGTGTGGGACGATAGTTGGAGCATGTCTATGAACGGCCCCAAGCGCCGAAGCTCCAAAGCCACCTCAGTCATAACATAATTCTGATATAGAGTTATACAAATAATTCATACATTCCGCCTCGAGCTGCCGCTCTGACACCCAAGGTCCAGACCCAGATGCACCGTCTTCATGAGCAGCAGGCCAGAAACTGACCAGACGAAACGGTTCCGTGGATCTCTGTTTCGGTCAGACAGGCCTGTTGATTGGAATACCGACCCAGAGATCGTGCTGGAACTTCTGAGTGCGGGCCTTGCCAGACTTGCATTTGAGCTCTGACAGTTCCGAAGTATTGCATGAAGCCGTGGCGGAATCATCGATTATCTAGCTTGGAGGCCGCCTCACACAACGGCCCGGTTTGTCGCTAGGTCTCATTGCACTTAGAAAGACCGTGTGAACTATGAAACGTGGATCATCTTGTTCTGGTCACGGTGACGCGGCCGAAAGGGCACGTGGTATAATTTATCCACCGTCTGTTGCGAAAACGCGTTGCTGAACATGCTGCGAAAGCGATCCGTGTGGGTCAGGCTGTACAGGTGTCCCCATGCACTGCAGCATGGCATGAGCTTTCCACAATGGCTCGAGGCGAAGAGCTGGCTTTGCCCTTGAAGTGGAAGGCCCCAGCACTGCACCTGCAGTGACGAGAGCTCTGAAGTAGCCGCAGTACTGGTATGGGCCAGCAGCCATGCACCTTCGCAAGTCTAGTTTCAAAGCCTGTTTCAATAGTGATCACCCTGCAGATCAGCCAGGATTCTGTGGAGGCTATGAGCAGAGTCGGCCTCGAAGATCTCTTCGAATGCGGGCCCTCCAAGGAGCTGAAGGCACCCCGGTGCTCGAAGCGAATGCAAGCCAAGCCGAGACATTCTGTCGCCTCTCCCCCGATGCACAAGTTTGACAAAAGTAGGTGCAGCGCATATCAATAGCAACGGCGTGAATATTCTGATTCAAGATCAGTTTGCGGCATGCTGGTGTGCAAGTCAGCTTCAAACCTTTGGCCCGAAGGTCCTTATGCGTTCTCCACTAGTATTGGGATGAGCATCTTTTGCGGCTGGGGATCCTGCTGGGCCCAGTTACAGTTACGTGAAGTCTGGGCGTGGAAGCCGATGCCACGGTTGTGTCTCGCGCCAGAAGGGCCCAAGCTCTCCTGCTAGCTACTCAAGACTCGCAGATACAAGTTGCACAAAGCATCAGAAAGGCTGCTTCACCTCTTCGATCACAGTTTTGGCTTTCAGAGTCGTATTTTGCGAATGCTTGCAGAGGCCATCCTGAAGCGAATCGATCCCGACGTCTGGTCGCGAACATGCAATGTGGAGGCTGCCAGATGAATACTCACTTTGACGGCGGTGTCCTTTTACATTGACGGCAGCTTTGTGTAGCTTTGCTGTGAAGGATGCATAAGGATGCTTGTGGATGCAAGTTCGGTCGTGTGACAGTATGGCGCAAGAAACAGCGCAGAACTCCCCAGACGAAAATCCGGGTATGCACTAATATCAGGCCCAGGAAAAGACATCATAACTGGACCAGGGAAGAGGCTGTAGTGCGACTGACTGTAAAATATGGCAGAATCTTGAAACAGAAGCTTGTGAGGCGAGTCATTGGAAATACACTCGCAAAACATGCAAGGACGATGTCGCGTAGCGAAGTACTGTGTCTTGCGTAGCTATCTTGTCTGTCGGGCAATATGCCAACATGCAGCAGCAGCGTGGCGACTGCTGCTCACTCCTGCCACACAGGCGAAGCAGGATCATTGAGCTAGGGCTAGGTTGATTAGGGGGAGCATACTATAATAATATGTTTCTGTCGCAGTAGGTATTACAGCCTTGATTTCCCGCGTTCTGGCATGTGCAGGTGTGATGACTTCAAGCATATGAGTGGTAAGTTTCACATTCCCCATGTGCTTGTTTGCCGTGGGGCTATTCTTTCCCGGCAAAGCATTCGGCGTACGAGCGAAAAAGGGAAAGTGTTGGGGCCTCTTTGAGACCACGTCGCAGTTCAAGAGTGCTCTGGCCTCCCCCAGCAGATCTTTGCATGCAGTGCCTGGAGAGCGATGGACGCCCAACGAGTCGGAGTTGTCATGAGCATATTGCATTCAACTACCTGGGCGTTGTGGCCGTGAACAGCTGAGCTCCGCAAGTTCGATCAGATAGATGCTGTCATCAAACACGATGGAGCAAAATCGCCTGAACGTAGGTCAGTCATCAGACACCACATACGAAACACCACAACCAGGCCACAATGTAATCATGATGCCCTTGCCTCGATGATGCTTACTCCGACGGGAACTGAGCCTGCAAGTGGCTTTGACGTCCCGATTACAGCACCAGTTTTGAAAGTGTCATGTAGGTAGGTGGGTTTCAGACGTCTATGTTGGGAGAAGTTGTTGTGCAGGCTTAACTTCAGTCGGTTTCAGGTGTCTAGATGATGACAAGAGTTTTGACATGTTTTGACCAAATTAATGTAACCGTGAGCAAAACGCGCTGGAGGAGACAAAGTGGGAAGCAAGGCTCATCCCGGAATTTCATCCTTGTCGCTGGCGTTCGACATTGGACTGCTCGGTCGCACGGCCGCTTTTCTCGATGCGACGGGCCTGTGCAATTTGGAGGCATGCGCGCGGTTTGTGCAAGATGCCTTCCATGCAACTTCGTCCAATCCGGAGGCGGTGCCGATCTTTCGAAACGGTTTTTTCCGGAGTGGATTTCAGGGGAGACTTAAGGTTTGCAACTTCTGCTTTCCGCATTGCAAAAATCGCAGTATGTCATGTTCCCATAAAGCCCAACATCCAGAGCTCCAGAGGAAGCACCTTGGCGGCGAGCTGCCGTCCAGCGTGGCCTCTGTGTGATGGAGAGCAGCAGCCTGCTGTTTTCAGCCGAGATCCATCGACGCCTGAAGCGCTTCTATGGGAAGCTGAGTTTGGTTACTTCGCCTGCAAATTGGCTATGGCCGATTCATGGTCTGGACGGGGCATCGAGGCTCGAGAAGATCACTGAAGGTTTTTTGCAATCCTGCCGCGGCCTTCGAGTTCATTTGTTGGAATTCGCATTTGACCCGACGGACGTCCAGAAGGTGTTGAGCACCGCGAACGCGTGGAGCCCACCACCACTGCCGGCCAAATCAAACCAGTACCAAGGCACCTTCCAGTCTTTCCTGGGAGTGCGCGCGCTGCACCTGGAAGTTTCCGTTCAGCCACTGATGACCCGGCAGGGTGGCGTCGAGTGTGCCCTGTTCCTCGAGCTACGGCTGGGCCAAAGTTTGCCCGAGAGCGCCTGGGCTCACGTCCTGGTTTGGTCCGGCACAGAGGCCTTCCCTGGCGATGCGCGCGGCGGCGAAGAGCCCGACGAGCCCATGTCGGCCATGCAAGTCCGGTTACCGAAAGGCCAGCCACGTGCGATCGGGCGCAAGGTAGACGAGAGAAGCAGTCCTGCAACTCCAGGTTGCGTCTGCTCCAGCCTGCAAAGAGTCGCTCGTGGCTCTGTGTTGCAGCAGGCCACGCACCCAGAGATGTCGTTTGGCACTGCAAGCGTCGATCGCGTTCTGCTTGGACTGAGGCCTTGACGTCTCATGGCACCGTTCGCACTTTGCTTGCCTTCGAACCCTGCAGAACTGCAGAGGCGCAATGAGACGAACGCGCAGAAAAAAGCGCCGCTGCATGGGCATGTGATCACATGCAGGGGCATCTGCAACCAGAACGGTCAGAGCGTGGTGGCGTTACGAAACACAGCTTCTTTCGGATTTTGCGTTCGCGGATGGCTCAGCATCGTGTCGAGCCGAGAGCCGACCCACGTAATCAAAATGCAGCATCGTGAGCCGCATCGACAAGTGCGAAGAGTCTAGTCGTGTAGTGACAAGATGCTCTTTGTCAGGCATGACAGTGCCAAATAAGATAAGCAGCAGCTGAAAAGCCTTCGATGTGTCGGGGCCTGCCCTGGTCTTTACGACTCTACGAAGCCCATGATTGGATCCCGTGCTCTGACTGGGAGACCATGGCAAGCTGGGCCAATGTGCCACCTGGCACAGAGGCCTTGGATTGCACTACTGAACGGAAGGTTTGGTTTTGCAGTAGAGGCTTGGGTCTTCTGCTTTGTTGGACGCAAAGGCTCGTAGGAGAGACATGAGAGACCTGCTCCTGTGTTTGGAACGACGACTTCGCTTGGGATGAAGGTCCTGCTTCTTGGTCGGTTCCCACAGCTGGAGGCCAGGCTGTTACTAGTGCAAGCAACACACGATTTGGGTGTCAGTCGTGCCTGGCAGAACTCCCAGTTCTTCAACACAGCCTCCACTTTCGAGGTCGAGGCAGGCGATAAGCTCAAACGGCCCAAATCCCAAGCTGTTATTACGCCTTATTACGCGGCCTGTTGAGCCCTCTCACTGCGGAAACACATAAAGTCCGCAGCACCCGTGCAGGGTATCGAAGGCCCAGAGCCTCGCATCATCGTGGATGGCGCCTTCTGCTTCCATGGGCGGCACCAGAGGCTCAAGTCATGGAATAGACGGAGTCACGAGTTCAAGCCGAACATGCATGACGGCGCACGTGCCCCCACAGCGATAGCATCAGGGCGTCGGATGCTAAGTGCTGCAGCGTTTGGATACTCAGAACTTTGGGCTCAAGCACAGTCGGTGCATCCAATCCGTGCTGGGTCATGGACGGCTTACGCAGCCTCTTACAGCAGGCAGGGTACTCGACAGGAGATGTGCAGACCCATCTTGACTATTTGGATGGCCGTGGCATTCAATGCGTTAGAGACCTTCGCGAGCAGCTGCAGGAGGGCACTGGGCTCGATGAACTTGGCTTTCCAGCCACTTCATTTCGACGGAAGTTGAATCTGCTGATCACGAAACAGCGCATGATTGAGCATTCCTGGAATGATATTCAGATTGCACACAGCTTGTCGCAGGTGGCATACCAAACTAAAAACGATCAAGTCTTCCATGACTTTGACCGCAAGTTTCAACCGTTATTTCTGGACTTGCTAGAGTGCAGAGCAACAAAGCAAAGGTATGCAATTGCCGTTGTGCAGCGGCAGCGGAGCACACCTTCGTGTTTTGATGCTGAAGCACAGGCACAGCGGGCTCTCTATGTCGCATTTGCTGGAACACGCAATTACGACGACTGGAAAACCAATTCGAGTGCCGTGCACAGACCCGATACAGACGTCGGAGGCCTTGTCCACGCAGGTTTTTCTCGCCGAGCACGACAAGTCAGGTTCCACGGCCTGAAGCGGATTGCTACCGCATACGAGTGTCAGGCAGTGGTCTTCGCAGGCCATTCCTTAGGCGGAGCAGTGGCCCATCTTGCCGCCCTGCAGGCTCTGAATTTGCGATTGTTTGGCGAGACCATGAAGGTGTTGTCTGTAGGCATTGGTGCTCCCATGTGCGCTGCTCCAGGGCTTGTTCGGGATATGAGAATCGAACAGTGGACCAGCAAGTTCTTGACGATCGCGAATGACGAAGATCCGGTGCCGGCACTGTTGAACATAGCAGACACTCTACAACAGTTTGGACGAGATGCAGAAGCACTCGGCAATGGTGTTTGTGCTTCTGTTTTCGAACTGCTCAGCGCGCTACCACTTGGTGATGGAATCCCGCAGCTTGCTGGTGCGGTAGGACGTGTGATTAGCGCTATGAGCTCATTGGAAAGCTACCAAGGGGTGCAGTCTATTTTGCAAAAGTTGCAGTTGGCATACATGCCTTTGGGCATGTATTTCATTCTGAAAAATCTCGAGGAAACGCGATCAGTGGAGGTGCATGAAGGTCAAGACTGCAAAGACATCCTTGGCGGGGCGAGGCTTCTAACTTCGACATCTGTCTTGAACCATGAAGGTTTGATCCAGCACGGTCTTGCAAAATACTGGCATGCGGTGAATTCTCCCGAGCTCCAGAGTAAATGTCCAGTCTCCGGCAAGTTGACTGGCCGGGGCGAAGTTAAAGTGTCTTCGATTGAATTTGGCATCGAGACTGCTCAGATCGAAGCACACAATGGCGAACTGACTCTACATTTGGTGGGGGATGGTTTAGACTTCGTGGCACCCTCTGCCGTCAAGATGGCCGACATTCCGGACCTAATCTGGAAAGTGGTGCACTGCAGCAAAGCTTCTCTTGTGCTTCGTGCTGCCTTTACGGGCCAGCAAGCACCAGCACAGGCTCACGTCACCGTCTGGCCAGATGTATGCAGTGAGGGGACCCGAGTTGTGGCACAGAGATTGGCGACCACTCTGCCCGAAGCTTCTGCAAACCAGTATGAATTCAGCGAGAATTTCTTCAAAGCTATGATGAAGAGCGCTTGGACTCAGAAACTCGTGCTACGTACCTCAGACGAGGATAACACTGTGCTGCAAGCATTACAGCGTGTAGACAAATTGGCGGGGCCAGATTTGTTGTACGACGTCATGAATGAAAACGAGCAGCCGCGCCTCAGAACGTTCGATCAATGCATTGCACAGGCCGGAATTTTGAACCTCTAGCAGTTGATCTGTTGTATACTACAAGTATCCCGCCGAACATGAAGAACTAGAATACTTCCCCGTAACATCATAACTCTGCCCACTTTACCCACTGGCAGGTGAAAAATCCGCGAAGGCTTCACGAGGTTGGGGAAGGACGGGACAGCGAAGCTCACGTTGAGCATGTTTTGCAGTGGTTGTGTCCGGAACAAGGGCATGTGCTGCTGACAGGGCAGCAGATAGCCGGCAAGGTGGGCATTGCAGCAGCAGCCACACTTGTTTGCATCGCAATCGTTGCATCCGGCGGTCTTGGGCTTGTCGGTGCAGCTCTGGGCTATTCGGGCTCTCTCACTGGCGGCTGGGGCACTGCAACCCTCATTGCAACAGCTTCTGCTACTGGCATACACCTGCTGCGCAGCAAGGTGAGCGGGCGCTACCAAGAGCTGCTGCGAGAGATGCATACCTGGACAGGGGCAAGAACCGCCCTGCAGGGTAATGATGAGTATGAGATGGAAACTGCCCTGATCGTGAAAGTAAACGACCGAAAGCGTCGAGATCAAGCATCATTTCCAGGGCCCTGGCATGGCCATGCCACGAAGCAGTCACAGGAGCTGCTAGAGCAGCTCTATGAGGCAGTGGTGGAGATTCACCGCATGAAGAAGGCGGGACGAGACCTCAAAGTGGTTGCCATTCTTGGTCCCCAGAAGAGTGGCAAATACTTGCTTGCCTCACAACTGATGATGGATACAAAACTCGCAGTTGAATCAGATGTGAGCAAAAACACGCGGGAATGCCCGCCCCATGCATTTACAAGTAGAGTTGCTCTGATTGACGCGCCGGGTCTGACGAGCACAGAGGCATGCCTGCAGTCAGCATACTACAATGGTCCGCACTCTGTGTCTTCTGTCTTCCTCTATATCCGTCCCTTTACAAATACGGCAGAAAGCTTTGATGCTGAAACCATCTACAAGGTTCTCATGACCTCGAACCTGAAGTCACCTTCGCTGCTCATCTGCCTGAACAAGGCCAAGACTTTACAGAGAGATGGCAAAGCAGGGAGGTACTACGACGCGCAGACGCTCCGGACTCTCAGAGATGACTTCCTTCGTCGGGTGAGAGAGGATGCCAGACAGAAGGCAACAAACAGCTCTGGATTCGCCGCATTCTGGGCGGACAGGTTTGATGCGAGGTTTGCAGCCAAATGGAACAACGTTGAGATCGTCTTCTCTGACCTCGGGACAGGATTTCTGCCCGGCGACGTCCCAGAGGGTCTCAAGAAGTTCATGCAAGACGAGAGGGAGGTATGGAATGCGAGCGGCATTGGCAAGTGGGTCAGGCAAGCGCTCGGGGGGCAGGATCCAGATCTCGACAAGAGGGTGGAAGCCATCAACCGGGATGTGTGGCAGCAGATGTTCAATGCATGATGTGCAAGACTACGAAGAACGGAGATGGCAAGTGAAAGCCAAAAAGATTATGCTCACAATTTGGGATGTGCCCTGCTGGACACGCTTGCGGACGGGTGTCTAGCCTTACGGGGCATATCTGATGCAGACAGGACAGTTGTCGTAACATCACCGATGGGGGCACTGATCGGCTTGTCGTGGCCGTAGTGCAGAAGTCTTTGACACGAAGGCACGGGGGCCTTTACGACTTCACGAGCTCGCAGTAGTGCGCAAAACGTCTTCAAGTAAGCGTGGCTGCCCAAACAGCGATCGGTCTCTCTTCGCATGGCGTCCCACATCCCCTGAAATGCAGGCCTATGTCCACCAACCTTTTCTTCACAGAGGAAGGCAAGGGCGAGGCCCATCTCCAAGGTGCATCAGGGGGTGCGCACGGGGCTAGGAACACCCGGGATGCAGTTCTGATCCTGCCTTTCCAATCCAGATGCGGGCTGCGATCTGGACATATGTGTTATAGGTTATAAGTATACTTCATGCAGCTGGTTTCGGCTGCACGAAGGTGTCTCGAAGGGGTTGATGTACGGCAGGCGTCTAGGGAGTTCGAAATCTCAGATTGCACGATGATGTGGACGTTGGTGTCAGTAGGCATTGGCGCGTTTCCTGCAGCCATTTCTTGTTCAACCTGCGGTTGTCCTGCGCAGACGGGTGCCTCGACTGGGTTTCAGACCTGCCAGCTTTTCTACAGGCAGGTTGTGCCTTGCGGAGATTTAGATGGGAATAGAAGGGCGCAAAGTTATACGTGGGTTCCGAGCAATACCGAAAGCACTATACTCGAGCAGCTGCAAGCTGTAAGTCACTCCTCTGGAATACATCACATCCACAAGACATGAAACTTCCTCCATTCCGTTTCTGCATGTCTCTTCTTCCGAGCCTAGTCTCACGCCAAATAACGCGAGCCTTCTCTCGCGGCAGAGATCCAGATCTGCACTCAGCCGCCTGATGGATACGGAGAGTGAATCCGGCCCAGGTTCCTAGCAGCCTGCTCTTCGGAACATCGTTCCTCGTTCCTGCGGGGCGCCGGCCTGAGCTGAGATGTGCGCATCTGGGTGTGGAGGGGGCCGTTCGTAGCAGGTTGCTGAGCGCAATGTACTGGTCTACAACGCCGATGACGAGGCGCCAAAAAGGGGGCCTCGAAGAGTTCATTGGGTTGGACATGTGCGGCGATGAAGTAGTCTGAGCTGATCAGAGCGTATTGGCGCAGTTCGGAAATGAACGAGAAGTATGGCACGCAGTACGGCCCTGTTCTGAGATGGTTTCTATGTCTTCTTTCTGGATGCCTTAAGATGTTGACTTGCTTTGTGTTGACTGGCCTAGGCTACAGCACCTACGACTCCTACGATGATTCGTACGATTGTGGGCTGCAGCAAGGCCTCTCAGTGCTGCAGGTTGTGAGCCATCCGTCGGCATCAGGGGTTTGCTCAGAATGCACTGGCAGTCTATCGTGTTCCGTCTCGCAACCTGCAGACTGGATGTATTTCTTGGATGAGATCGACACGACTGATGGGTCTTGTCAGCCTCCAAACATCGAGCTTGGTTATACTTGCTGATCCTTTTCTGATGACATTCTTGTCATGCACACGCGCCCCTGCCAAGACTGTCCATCCGAAGCAGAAATGGAGGCCCTGCGTGTTCAGTCTAGTTCGGAGTTATCGTGGATGCCTCGCTTGTGTTTCATTCTTAGTGCCTGTTTCAAGTTTGTCCCTTTGAGCCCTGGGTGAGCCAGCACCCTTGCAGGGCTGCCTTTCGTGGCCTTTAGTGCTCAGCCAGGCCTCGTTCAATCCTTCTGTCGTGACATCACCGATGGGGGCCCGGGCCTCAACGTTGACATTGGCCCAAGGCCAGCCGACCATGTTCCGACAAGCATTGAAGCCTAAAGCCAATCTTGAGTGGTGTGTTCAACCAGGATGTATGTCCTGGAATAACCTGTTCCTAGCCAAGCTTGAGGGCGGCTGTGAATTACCGGTAAAGAGCGGAAATTGAAAAGTCGCTAGAGCCTCATAAAGCCGGCATCGTCAAAGTTTGCTAAGGAGTGGCTTCAGCAGCACAGCGTCCTTTCAGCCGGGAGCGTCAGCAAACCGGGCTGTCGGTCAGATGTTTCGTCTTGCACCGCCGAGTCCATGATGTTGGAGCCGCTGACGCAGTTCGAAGCTCCAGGGTTTGCCGCCCTGCGCTGAGCCTCTCCGCCTGACCGGAACAGGCAAAAGCAGAACGCCCCTCATCTCCTGAGGCTGGGCAGCTGGGAACACAGCCCTCCCACAAGCCACGGAGGGCCCAGGACTGAGAAGTTGGAGCTCTGGTGTGGTCAACCGGAATCACGGCACACTCTCAGGCTGTGCCTGCGTCTGAGCCCATGAAGGCCAATCACAGTGCTAGGATTTGCTAGGGCTTGAACGCTTCGCAAGCGAGAGCCTAGTAGCCGCGAAAGCCGCGCATGCCCGCCGCGCTTTCGGAGGTGCAGCTTCCCCCCGAAGCCCGCTCTTTGCCAACGCTCCTGGCGCCTCGGCGCAAGTCTCAGAGCACAGCTCTTGGAGCTGCTCGAAGCTCCCTTGCAGGATCCGCTGATTCCTGCGAAGAAGATGCCAAAGTACGCGACGGAGCCCTGCCGACCTGCGTTTGACTGGACCGTTGCTGCAGCTTTGGAATCGACGTGGGTTCAGTGTCGGCTGGGGACTTGGTGCCAGGTTTGGAAACGGCTTGAAGAGTCTGGATCCAAAGTTGCCAGCCAAGAAGCGTGTGCCGGAGCGCAGAAGAGCGACAGATAGCGACAGCGACCCTCCGAGTCAGTCAGAGAGAGGCAGCCCTGGCACCAGGAGATCCTTTCCGAAGCTGGAGCAAGAGCGATGGAGGCTGCCCAGTACTGGATCAAGGCGTGCATCAGCGACTTTTGCCGCCAGGAGTGCGACTACATGCTTGCTGTCGCAGCCTCAGGGTTGAACATCTGTTCTGAGAACCAGCTGCAAGGATCATCATTCAGTCGGGTGGCAACATGCAGCTCTGACAACAGTTGTCACTTTGGCCGTATGCAAGTTTCTAGTTGCTGACTGCATCTGTCATTCACTGTCGCCAGAACGAGGCGCGTTGATGAGTTTGAATAGAAGGAAACGGTGCAAAGGCACGGCCCGTGGCATGATGATGCTCGAGTGGCTTGCTGTTGCTCTGCAGCTGCTTAGACGGAAAGCCAGCTCTGCTAGCCTGGGATGCAGCCCGGCCGACCCTAGTCAAGTCCCGGCGTCAGGAGTGCGAGAGACTATGAGGAAAGCTTCCGAGGTCGAAAGGTATATTTATGACCTGAATGGTAATTCGCCGCATGGCGGGTCTCCTTCATGTCCTTCTTCGGGTCAGAAAAGGCATCAATCCATGAGAGGCAAGGGGTTCTTACTGGACATGCAGGGGGAAGTCTTGGGCAGTGCCGAAGTGCCAATAGGGCATCAAGGCATCTGCCGCCATGTCGTTAAGTGTCGGCAGAAGATCTACCGTGTGTTGCTCGACATGATTTACGGTCAACAGTTGCCACCTGATGATGGGGCCACTCATTTGCCCGGCGGCGTAGTAGATGTAACAGTGCAGCTGCAACGACATTCAGAACTTGAACTTTGCAGATGGATCGAAGTTGGCTGTTGTGCATCGTTGTTGAGGTGACAAAGGTCTCACTCCACAAAGAATTGGAGCTCAGGTGGATGCCTGAAACGTAGATTTGCATGCCTTTTCCCAAGGCATATGAGGCAGATTAGGACTATTGAAGGAGTGCGAAGCATTCCAGTTCAAAATTCGCAGCTTCAGCCTCAGCTGTCCTCGGTTCATGAAAGCCTACAACCTTTCGGTGTGGCTTCTGTTCTGTGAGGTTTCGGAGCATGACGAGTGCAACGCAGCCTTCTCAGTACAACAGTCCCTCTGACTGCACCAAGCAGTTTAGGGAATCTGAGCGCACTTAGACTGCTGAAGAGCGGCAATGGATCAAACAGGAAATCCACGATGCACCACCTCGCTTGGATTTCACCTTGCAGGGGCAGCTTCAGTTCCTGAAGGAAAGGGCGAAGTCTCAAATCCGAAAGACTAGATGGAACACTGTTTTGAGCAGGGGGTGCGATATGTGACAGTCAGCAGACTCCGGGCTGCAGAGAGCTTGTCAAAGAATAGCGAATCTCAGAAGCTTCACAATGTGAAGACGGCAGCAACGGCGAGAAGGCACGCGCAGTACTCTGTAAAATGGCGCGAGCGGAGTTCGTGCCAAGACGGAGCGAAGGCAGCTGCTATCAGCTGCATACAGTTGCATGCAGGTGCATCCGAGCATGTGGTACGCTTTGAGCTGGACCGATCCGGCACGCACATCCAGAACAAGGCAGGGAGGGTGAACCGATGTGAACCGAGAGTCTTCCATCCAAGCAGTATAGGGCTCAGACAAGCTACTGCCTATCTCTCACAAAGCAAAGACCTGCAGCATGTCACAGACCCAACCCAGGCTCAGACAGGTTCTCTGGCCAAAGAGCCAGCGGCTTCCGGGTCAGCCGGGAAGGCCTCCGAGGCCCGGGGGGGGAACACGCCCCAAGCTTTCATGAAGTGAGACGGCGAGACAGGAGCCAAGGATGCATCCGAAGACCGAAGAAGAGCGAGAAGAGCCGGTCGCAAAGGAAAGGGCGCAGCGGCAGCCGCGACTGCGAAGACTGCAGCCAACACCCGAGCCCCAAGAGCAGCCAAAGACGCTGCCAAGCACGAGCGGAACCGGGAGCAGGGCCCTGAGCTCTCGGAAGACGCGGTTCGTGAGCATGTCTCCAGGGCCTCAGCTCTTTGCTCTGAGGCACCGAGCCAGTGAATGCAGCGACCGATCAGCCGAAGGAGGAGGCACCCGAGAGAAGTCCTGGCCTCTGACATGGCCTGGCAGCCCATGGCAGCCCACTGGAGGACATAATCCCACAGATGAGACCCGGAAAGAAGAGGACTCGCTCTTTTGTTCTCAAAGAGAAGGT